AGGTATGATATATCCGCAACAATAAATACATTTCTTTATTTAAAATAGCATTCGAAACTCTATTCACAAATAATAATGACAAATGTATATATATATATATATATATATATATATATATATATATATATATATATATATATATATATATATATATATATATATATATATATATATATATATATATATTTGTCATATATATATATACATATCTATATATATATATATATATATATATATATATATATATATATATATATATATATATATATATATATATATATATCTGACTCTAAACTCTGAACAGGCATATAAATTTTGTCCAACGAATGTTCGAGTTAAGCGAAGCTTTCAGTATGTATAAAGAATTCAAAGGAAATTGAAAGTTTGTCCAACTTAGTAAAAGTCCGACTTATCCAGGGTCCAACGGGACTCTACTGAATATATATATATATATATATATATATATATATAAATATATATATATATATATATATATATATATATATATATATATATATATATATATATATATACAAACAATCTTTGCTGCAATGTGTTCTACAAACAAGTTTATGAATTTTGTTTCTATCCACAAATAATGACGACATATATATGTATATATATATATACATACTACGTATATATATATATATATATATATATATACATACTACATAATACATATATATATATACATATGACGACGTATATATGTATATATATATATATATATATATTAAATGTTTGTATATTATATATACATAAATATATACAATATTGGGAATATATAAGATATCTTATTTATAGTAAATGAGATTAATAATTATATATATAAATATATATATAATATATATATATATATATATATATATATATTTATAAATATATATGTATATATAAACACTTATGTATATATATATATATATATATATATATATATATATATATATATATATATATATATATATACAGACATATATACATATATATATATATATATACAGACATATATACATATGTATATATATAAGCCTATATATATTTATATGTATTTATATATACATATGTATATAAATATTTATATATATATATACTTATATATATATATTTATATATATATATATATATATATATATATATATATATATATATATATATATATATACTAGGTTGGTTGAAAAGTTCGCGGAGCGGAAATGAAAAAACAATTTTATGATTCAAAAAATGACTTTATTCTTCAGGATATTCTCCCTTAAGAGCAATACACTTTTTCCAACGATTCTCCAATTCATGTATCCCATCTCTGAAGTGCGATTCCGGAAGGCCTTCAAAATACCCATTTACGGCTGCAATGACTTCTTCATGTGATGAGAAACGCTTTCCACGTAGAAATTTTTTGAGATGTGGAAAGAGGTGGAAGTCGGACGGAGCCAGATCTGGTGAATAGGGTGGATGTTCCAAGCGTTCGTACTTTAATTCGACCAATTTCGCCTTTGCAACATCGCTGATATGAGCAGGTGCGTTGTCCTGGTGATAAATGATTTTTTTATGCAGCAAACCAGGTCTTTTCTCACGAATTTTTTTATCCAACTGGTCCAAAAGATTTTTATAATATTCACCTGTTATCGTTTTACCGGTTTGAAGGTAATCTATTAATAAAATTCCTTTCGCATCCCAAAAAACTGATGCCATAACCTTCTTTGACGATTTTGACGCCTTCACTTGCTTCGGAGCTGAACAACCGGGTTCTGTCCACTCTGCAGTTTGTTGTCGCAGCTTCGGATCATAGTGGTAAACCCAAGTCTCATCCATGGTTACGAATCGACGCACAAAATCTGTTTTATTCTTTTGAAAACGGGCCAAATGTTCTTGAGAAAGTTTTACTCGAGTGCGTTTCTGATCCAGAGTTAGCGAATGCGGCACCCATCTTGCCAACAGCTTTCTCAGACGTAATTCATCGTGCAAGATGTGTAATACCCGTTCATCTGAGATGCCCACAGCCTCAGCAATTTCACGTTTGGTCAATCGTCTATCATCCATAACCATGTCATGCACAGCATTAATCGTTTCTTCAGTAGTAGCACTTTTTGGACGTCCAGAGCGAGGGTCATCTTCAAGGCTTGAACGCCCACGTTGAAACTCCGCAGCCCATTTGCATACTGTTGTTTTTGAAGGAGCATCATCACCCAACACATTTACCATTTCATTATGAATTTCCATGGGCTTTAAACCTTTTTTCACAAAGAATTTTATTACAGCACGATGTTCAATATTTTCCATTTTAAAAAATACTATGACACGTCTACTTTCAATAGCTTGTAAACAAAGACTGAAATGACATATCGACTTGAAATTTTTTATGCGTTCATACGAAGAATGAATACGTTTAATACAGTTATAAATTTGTTTCTACTACTGCAACATAGGTGCCGCTCCGCGAACTTTTCAACCAACCTAGTATATATATATATATATATATATATATATATATATATATATATATATATATATATATATATATATATATATATATATATATATATATATATATATATACATATAAGCTTTGCATAAACCATTAAATCTTGTGATATTCTTGTATTGAAGATAAAAAATTTTTATCTTTTAATTTATACCAAATAATGTTTTTATAAGATTTTAGCTATTAAAATAGCCACAAAATAGCTTTGATACTTTTTTAAAATGAAATAAGGTTAGGCACAACTGTAATAAACATTGATCTTTTTTAATGTAAATATTTACTTTCATCTGCTTCAGAAGAAAAAATTGGTTTCTTTTTATGTTGAGCTTTAGTAGTATGAGAAACTACTATATTCTGCCTAAAGAAGGATTTGCCAATGAAAAGCTCTTAACTGGTTGATTTATTGAAGGTAGTAAATCTGTCGATCAAAAAAATGTTATCTGATATCATATTTTATCTTAAGTTTTAATATATTATAACTAAAGATTTATTTTTATTTATAATTTGTAAAACTTTTCTTCTTGATTCTTTGTTATAAACATCATCTTCGGAAGAAAATACTTCCAATAGAAAAACATTTATACTTCTTCGAAAAGTTCCAGAACCAAATATGTAACAATTAAGACAAGGCATTTGCAAAAATCAAGGATAAATCAATAATCTTCTTGTAAATATTCTTCTTAATGCGCATTTGTTTACATAAAGTGTGCACTCATTGGTAGACTGGGTTCTAAAAAAAAGCTAACAATAAGATAAACAATAGCGCTCTTAAACTGGCCGGACTATGTATATTATGACTATGATTAAATCAAAAATGAAGTGGTGATTTTTTTATAGTGAGTTAACAAATTCGTCAAATAAAAAACAATTTTCCTTAAAGAAAATAATCCATAAAAACTTTTTATTGAAGTCGCTCCGAGGTTGGTTGGGGCTTAGGGCAAATTTTATTTCTGTTACCATTTTCTTAGGAACAGCAATTTTTCTTTCAAAAATAATCTTTGGAACAGCCACTTTCTTAAAATTTTAAAAAATGGCCCTTAAATAGTATTTGGGGTCCCTACACCCTTCGGGTCCTGTGACAATATCGTCTAACTGTTCCCCCCCCCCCCACCATTTCTCTCTGTATAGTGGCTTTGAATTTTATTAATTTTATTATTATTAGGAACAGTTTTCACGAAAAACCATATGATTAAAAAAAACCAGTCTGATTTGGATTCTTTTTCAATATTTATGCATATTGCAATATTTATGCATAATTTATATATATATATATATATATATATATATATATATATATATATATATATATATATATATATATATATATAGTATATAAATAACTTTATATATCTATATATTGTACAACATTCAAAAATTATGTATTAATTGGATTTTATATTACTTTTATCCATTGAGTAATTATAATACAACTCTATATCTTCTTCCGCGCCTCACCCTCACAATGAATGTATGTTGTAAGCTAATAAAACATCGTTTTCATTTTTTATACTAGTTTTTCTCATTTTATTAAGGATAAAAATAGTTTTGAAAATGAACTAATTTTTTCTAATAGGTTGTGTTGCAACATCGCTACTTTATTCCATAAGTAAACCTCTAACTATTGCTCGTGAGTCGGAATAAAGTAATATTTAACAGTTTTGTGTTCATAAATAACAAACTTTGTGCTCATAGAATTTTTGTATGATCACTAATATTATTTTCAAAAATATTAGTGACCTGTAAAATAATTATGAGTCTTTAGGCACCTGTTAAAAAATTTTTTGTACAAGATTTTCTCAAAATCTTGTTTTACTATGTGAACAACCGTGAAATTTGTTTATATAATTGTTCACATATATTAGGGTGATTACAAAATCACTATTCAATATTGCTTTTATAACTTCCCTAAAAAAAACACACACACATTTAATGTCATTGTTTTCAGACTTATGTGGTTCGGACGGTTTTCCATATTATTATTTTCTTAATGAAAATTAAATTATAAAAATAAGTGGTTATGTAAATAATATATAAAAAAAAATCTGAAATACAGCATCCCATTTTTTCCATTTAATTTAACTTGTAGCTAGTGATTTTCTTTTTTTTTTTTTTTTTTTAAATTTGTCTAAATTTTTGTACGGATTATGTTTGCATAAGAAAATTATTTTATTTCATAAAAATTCTGTAAATAAAAATTTCTAGATGCTTTTTTCATTAGGAAAACTTGTTTTTATCGGACAAATGCGTAGAAATAACATTACGAAAAAATCATAACTTCATTGATTTATTAATATATAATATTACATATAAATCAGTACAGTAAAAAAATTTCGAAATTACTAATTTGAATTATAAAATTGTAACAATATTTATATAGCTTTTAGTAAATGGTATGAAAATTAACGACATTCCGTCTTGGCTTTTAGAAAATGCTTAGAAGCAGAGTTTCAGTAATGAAACTACCTAATAATCATTTTTAACAATAGACACCAACGTGAAGGTAGCCAAGTTGTCTATCAACACAAAACACCACAACAATAACATAACAATGATTACACACAACAATAACACAGGAAATATACATATAACAACTTACGGATGAGCCAACACGGTGCCAGAGCTTAAAACAGAACACAAACAAACATAAAACAACTTATGAGTAAAGCAACACTGCATCAGAGGTTCAAACCAAAAAAAAACAGACACAACAATAACATAACAATGATAACACAACAATAACATAGCAAATATAAAGCGACTTACAGGTGAGCCAACACCGTGCCAGAGGTCTACACAGAACACAAACATAAAAAAAATCGACTTACGAGTGAATCAACACCGCGCCAGAGGTCTACACAGAACACAAACATAAAAAATCGACTTACGAGTGAATCAACACCGCGCCAGAGGTCTACACAGAACACAAACATAAAAAAATCGACTTACGAGTGAATCAACACCGCGCCAGAGGTCTACACAGAACACAAATATACATAAAACAACTTACATTTGAGCTAACTCCGTGCCAGAGGTACAAACAGAACATAAATATACATAAAGCAACTTACAGGTAAGCTGACACTGTGCCAGAGGTGTTGGCTTACCTGTATCCTATATCCACCCCTGCTCACTATTTCTTTATTGTAGACTTATCAGACCCTTTTTTAATGTTTGATCGAAGCCCACCTTTTGATTTAGTTTTTTTCGACATAGCTTTTTGTCTTTGAACAACATCTTTAGCCATCGAAAATGATCTTACTCTTAAGTATAATTTTACCATACTCTCTAAAAGATTTGTTTTAACTTCTTTATCAATTTTAAATTGGCAGGAGTTCTCGACAATAGCATTATAAAAACTTTGCACAGTTGTATTTGTGATTAGCTCAGATGCCATATTTGCAATGTCAACTTTTCTCAACATTGAATTTAGAGTTTCAGACCGAAATTTTATTTCTGTTAGAATAAATATTTGCTGACACTCTTCTGTCAGTGAGATCAGTCCACCTCTGTTTTGAACATCAATAAGTCTTTGTCCATGTGACAAATTATTTTCAAGAACACAGTGGTTTAAAATAGAAATAATTGCTTGGGTTTCTTCAGATTGATAGTGTTTACTGTTTTTAGCTTTCTTTAAAAATTTTGACAAAACGTAGCCAGCCAAGTATTGTAGACCATCTAATTCCTTTGCAGATATAGGTTTCAGTTCAATTGATTTATTCTCTGAAAAAGATGTTTTGTAATAATACAAAATTTTATAAGTTAACGCTGTTGATATAAGCGTACTGCAAGGTTTTTCAAGATCATTAAAATATTTATCAGACTCTAATACAAGTGAAGAATATGTTTCCATGTAAAAATTTTCACCATTTCCTGTCTTCACTAACTTTTTGTAAATTTTGTTGCACTGTTGGTATAATAGATCGTTTATTACATTAATATATTGAGATATTTTATTTAATATTATGTCTGGGTAGTATTTTTCACTTAGCAAAGTATTTATAGCTTCATTAACTAATGTTTTTATTGTCTCAACTGATAAGAAATTTTCTGCTTCGATAGTATCAGGTTTTCCATCAGAATGTTTTGTTCGGATATGTCTTGTTAACCCACCCTTTGTCTTGTAACACTTTTTGCACTTTTGACATGAGAATGCAGCAGATGTAGTCACCTAAGAATAACCATTACATGTAAATTTTTAAAAATAAAAATAAATCATAACTACAAAAAGATTAGCGTGCTAAAAATATAAATAAATATACTGATTTATTTACACACATGTACAAGCTGCTGACTGGATCAGTCCAGTCTGAATAAACCTTAATTACACTAAAATATGTACAATGTATAAATATAAAATATGAATTTTTACTTGCCTCGTTTAATGCTTCATTTAGATCTACTTCTATTTCATTATCCAAAAGATCCTGATCTATGTCCAAAAACATAAAATCTAAATCTTCACTACAAAAATATATATCACTTTCAGCCATTTTAAATTAAAGTTTGCACTTACTTTGATCACGTGACTGATATTTTTTAGTGTTTAAGTTTCGCTTTAAAATCAGCTTCAATTTCGCGAGATTTCCCGACCAGGTATAACTTCTATTGACTATGGTTGCATTGAGTTGTCTTGTAACTTTTTCACTCAATGTTTTTTTCCAGGTATTTTTTCCTCTGCTTGTTTTTTTTTCAATAAATGACTTTTTCTTGTTGTAGTTCTTCTAGTTTTTTTCACCTAATAACTTTTTCAAGTTGTTTTTCGCTATTTGTAGTTTTTCTTACCAAATGACTAGATACTAAATAGTCATTTATTCAAACAGTTTTTTTCACAAAATGACTTTTCCTAGTTGTTTTTTTCTTCTTGTGTTTTTTTTACTTAACAACATTTTCTTGTTGTTTTTTTTTACATAAAGTTATTTTTTATCAAATGACTTTTGCTAGTTGTTTTTTTTCTTATAGTTATTTCCACTATATGACTTTTTCTAATTCTGTTTTCTCTTGTAGTTTTTTTCACTACATGACTTTTCGTAGTTGCTTTTTTCCCTTAATAAATTTTTCTTGTTGTTTTTTTCTTTTTGAATTTTTTTTATTAAATGATTTTTCTAGACATTTTTCCTTCTTGTAGTTTTTTTCACAAAATGAGTTTTTTTTCTTATTATTTTCTTCTCCTACTTTATTCTCACAAAATCACTTTTTCTAATTGTTTTTCTCTTCTTGTTGTTTTTTTTACTTAATGACTTTTTTTTTTTTTTTTTTCTTTTTGTGGTTTTTTTAACTAAATGACTTTATCTTTTTGTGTTTTTCTTCTTATAGTTTATTTTCACAAAATGAATTTTTCTAGTTGTTTTTTTTTCTTGTAAATTTTTCGCAAAATGTTTTTTTCTAATTATTCTTTTTGTCTTGTAAATTTTTTCACTCAATGTTTTTTTCCAGGTATTAATTTTGTCTGCTTGTTATTTTTTCTCTAAATGACTTTTTCTTGTTGTAATTCTTGCAGTTTCTTTTACAAAGTTTGTTTTTCAAGTCAATGAGTTTTTATAATTGTTTTTCTCTTTTTGTTCTTTTTTTTACTCAATGAAATTTTTTCTTCTTTTTATCTTCCTGTAGTTTTTTTTTTATTAAATGACTTTTGTAGTAATTGTTTTTTCTTCTTCTATTTTTTTTTCTGTAAATGACTTTTTTTTTATTGTTTTTTTTAATTCTAGTTTTTTTTCACAATATGACCTTTTCTAGTTGTTTTTTTTCCTCAAGTTTTTTTCATTTAATAAATTTTTATTGTTATTTTTTTTTTGAAATTTTTTTCGATAAATGTTTTTTCTCGTTGTTTTTTTTTTTTTTTTGTGTTTTTTTACCTTACTGACTTTATCTTATTGTTTTTTCTTTTTATAGTTTATTTTCACAAAGTGAGTTTTTCTAGTTGTTTTTTTTTTCTTGTACATTTTTTCGCTAAATGTTTTTTTCTAATTATTCTTCTTGTCTTTTTAGTTTTTTCACCCAATGTTTTTTTCTAGCTATTTTTTTCATCTGCTTGTTATTTTTTCACTAAATGACTTTTTTTTGTTGCAGTTATTGTAGTTTTTTTCTCCTAATAACTTTTTCAAGTTGTTTTCTGCTATTTGTAGTTTTTCTTACCAAATGACTTGCTACTAATTAGTCATTTATTGCAAAAGTTTTTTTTTATAAATTGACTTTTCCTAGTTGTTATTTTTGTTACAGTTATTTCCATTATATCACTTTTTCTCATTCTGTTTTTTCTTGTAGTTTTTTTTACTACATGACTTTTTATAATTGTTTTTTTCCTGTAATTTTTTTCTCTTGATTAATTTTTCTCTTTTCTTCTTCTTTTGATAAGTTTTTTTTTTTTAATTTTTTTCATTAAATTGTTTTTCTAGATATTTTTCTTTCTTGTAGTTTTTTTCACAAAATGAATTTTTTTTTCTTATCATTTTTTTCTTGTACTTTATTTTCACACAATGACTTTTTATAGTTGTTTTTTCTTCTATTTTTTTTTCTGTAAATGACTCTTTTTTATTGGTTTTTTTAATTCTAGTTTTTTTTTTTCACTATATGACTTTTTCTATTTGTTTTTTTTCCTCAAGTTTTTTTCACTTAATAAATTTTTGCTTGTTATTTTTTTTTTAAGTTTTTTTCGGTTAATGATTTTTCTCGTTGTTTTTTTCTTCTTGTGGTTTTTTTTAACTAAATGACTTTATTTTATTGTTTTTTTCTTTTTATAGTTTGTTTTCACCAAATGAACTTTTCTAGTTGTTTTTTTTTCTTGTAGAATTTTTCGCTAAATGTTTTTTTCTAATTATTCCTTTTGTCTTGTAAGTTTTTTCTCTCAATGTTTTTTTCCAGGTATTTTTTTCGTCTGCTTGTTATTTTTTCACCAAATGACTTTTTCTTGTTGTAGTTATTGTAGTTATTTCACCTAATAACTTTTTCAAGTTGTTTAATGCTTTTTGTAGTTTTTCTTACCATAGGACTTGCTACTAAATAGTCATTTATTGAAACAGTTTTTTTCATAAAATGACTTTTCCTCGTTGTTTTTTTGTTCTTTTAATGTTTTTACTTAACAACATTTTCTAGTTGTTTTTTTTACTTAAAGTTATTTTTTGTTAAATGACTTTTTCTAGTTGTTTTTTTTCTAATAGTTATTTCCACTATATGACTTTTTCTAATTCTGTATTTTTTTGTAGTTTTTTTCACTACATGTCTTTTTATAGTTGCTTTTTTTCTGTAGTTTTTTTCTCTAAATAAATTTTTCTTGTTGTTTTTTTCTTTTTGAATTTTTTTCATTAAACGATTTTTCTACACATTTTTCCTTCTTGTAGTTTTTTTCACTAAATGAGTTTTTTTTGTTATTATTTTCTTCTACTACTTTATTCTCACAAAATAATTTTTGCTAATTGTTTTTCTTTTCTTGTTGTTTTTTTTACTAAATGACTTTTTTTTTTCTTTTTTTCTTCCTATAGTTTTTTTTTATTAAATGACTTTTGTATAATTGTTTTTTCTTCTTTTATTTTTTTTCTGGAAATGACTATTTTTTATTGCTTTTTTTAATTCCAGTGTTTTTTTTTCACTATATGACTTTTTCTAGTTGTTTTTTTTTCACTTAATAAATTTTTATTGTTATTTTTTTTTTTTAATTTTTTTCAGTTAATGTTTTATCTCATTGTTTTTTTCTTCTTGTGGTTTTTTTTAACTTACTGACTTTATTTTACTGTTTTTTTCTTTTTATAGTTTGTGTTTACCAAATGAGTTTTTCTAGTTGTTTTTTTGTTCTTGTATTTTTTTTACTTAACAACATTTTCTAGTTGTTTTTTTTTACATAACAACATTTTCTAGTTGTTTTTTTTACATAAAGTTATTTTTTATCAAATGACTTTTTCTAGTTGTTTTTTTTCTTATAGTTATTTCCATTATATGACTTTTTCTAATTCCGTTTTTTCTTGTAGTTTTTTTCAGTACATGACTTTTTATAGTTGCTTTTTTCCTGTAGTTTTTTTCTTTTAATAAATTTTTTTTTCTGTTTTTTTTTTTTTTTTTTTGTTTTTTATTAGACGATTTTTCTAGATATTTTTCCTTCTTGTAGTTTTTTTCACAAGATGAGTTTTTTTTCTTATTATTTTCTTCTTGTACTTTATTTTCACAAAATGACTTTTTCTAATTGTTTTTCTTTTCTTGCTGCTTTTTTTACTAACTGACTTTTTTTGTTCTTTTTTTCTTTTTGTGGTTTTTTTAACTAAATGACTTTATCTTTTTGTGTTTTTCTTCTTATAGTTTATTTTCACAAAATGAATTTTTCTAGTTGTTTTTTTTTCTTGTAAATTTTTCGCAAAATGTTTTTTTCTAATTATTCTTTTTGTCTTGTAAATTTTTTCACTCAATGTTTTTTTCCAGGTATTAATTTTGTCTGCTTGTTATTTTTTCTCTAAATGACTTTTTCTTGTTGTAATTCTTGCAGTTTCTTTTACAAAGTTTGTTTTTCAAGTCAATGAGTTTTTATAATTGTTTTTCTCTTTTTGTTCTTTTTTTTACTCAATGAAATTTTTTCTTCTTTTTATCTTCCTGTAGTTTTTTTTTATTAAATGACTTTTGTAGAATTGTTTTTTCTTCTTCTATTTTTTTTTCTGTAAATGACTTTTTTTTATTGTTTTTTTTAATTCTAGTTTTTTTTCACAATATGACCTTTTCTAGTTGTTTTTTTTCCTCAAGTTTTTTTCATTTAATAAATTTTTATTGTTATTTTTTTTTTGAAATTTTTTTCGATATATGTTTTTTCTCGTTGTTTTTTTTTTTTTTTTTGTGTTTTTTTACCTTACTGACTTTATCTTATTGTTTTTTCTTTTTATAGTTTATTTTTGACAAAGTGAGTTTTTCTAGTTGTTTTTTTTTTCTTGTACATTTTTTCGCTAAATGTTTTTTTCTAATTATTCTTCTTGTCTTTTAAGTTTTTTCACCCAATGTTTTTTTCTAGCTATTTTTTTCATCTGCTTGTTATTTTTTCACTAAATGACTTTTTTTTGTTGCAGTTATTGTAGTTTTTTTCTCCTAATAACTTTTTCAAGTTGTTTTCTGCTATTTGTAGTTTTTCTTACCAAATGACTTGCTACTAATTAGTCATTTATTGCAAAAGTTTTTTTTTATAAATTGACTTTTCCTAGTTGTTATTTTTGTTACAGTTATTTCCATTATATCACTTTTTCTCATTCTGTTTTTTCTTGTAGTTTTTTTTACTACATGACTTTTTATAATTGTTTTTTTCCTGTAATTTTTTTCTCTTGATTAATTTTTCTCTTTTCTTCTTCTTTTGATAAGTTTTTTTTTTTTAATTTTTTTCATTAAATTGTTTTTCTAGATATTTTTCTTTCTTGTAGTTTTTTTCACAAAATGAATTTTTTTTTCTTATCATTTTTTTCTTGTACTTTATTTTCACACAATGACTTTTTATAGTTGTTTTTTCTTCTATTTTTTTTTCTGTAAATGACTCTTTTTTATTGGTTTTTTTAATTCTAGTTTTTTT